CAGTTTCTGACATGGTTTTATTTGCTTTCAACAGCTGGATTTAACTTAGTGTGAGAAACACATTAAAATAGATCAGACATCAACAGTTGCCTCCTGTAACTTCCACTTTTTTCCAGTTTGAAAGTTTTTCTCTCAGCTGCAGCTTGTCTCAGTTTGCACTTCTCTTCAAAGATAAACTCTGACTCTGAAAACTGCAAAAATAAAGCTTTCCCTTCAGATCAAACCTGGATTTTGTCCACGTTCCTGGCGCAGCCCACCACCTTCATCCCGTGGCGGACCAGCTCTTTGGCTACGGCCGCCCCGATCCCGACCGAGGCTCCGGTCACCAGAGCCACTCTGCCCCTCCAGCGCTGCATCACAGTGGAACACCAGGAACCTGCAAAAGACAGAGAAGAGATGACGGAGAGTACAACAGTCGCCGAGCAAACTGGATGTTCTAATTTTTCCAGAGGCACTGGTACTTATTGAAAGAAAGCTTGAAATTATACTCTTAAGCAGTTTCTATAAATATACATGCATTCAAACCTTTTGCAGAGTCCAGCTTCTCACTTTGGTTTGTTGCCAATAAAACATGAAGCAAGAGAATCTATTTTTGATCAATTCCACAACAACCGTGAGAATAAATGTACTTTTAAATATGAAATACTTGGACACAAAAACAGTATCTACTCATTTATTACTTTTAGACATATTTTCCTGAATAATTAACTCATATGGGGGTTTATTTTTGAAATGCAGACAGCCATGAATCCTCTCTGTAGACTGGATGTGGATCTTGGCCACATGTAACCCCATCCTCGGTCAGGATGGTCCTGTGTTCTTGGGAACTCTGCGATGTCCGCTCATTCTGTAACACGAGATGTTGTCCAGGTCTGTATTTACCAACATGTGCTGATGTGATCTCAGGGCACAGAGTTATAAAAATGACTGAAGTGTCTGTGGGCCAGAGTTACTGAATTAGGTCTAAAGTTGACAGAAAGGAGACAGCGAGAGGGAACGTTTAGTGTCTTGCCTTTCCCAGACGTGCACTCTGCAAAACTTACTATTTAAATGATCCTGAAGAAACGCTCTCTCATCTTGGCTGTACTACTGCACAGCAAAATGACAATAAACTTGATTTGATATGAAGATGTAACAGCACCTGCTATGTGGATGATGTGCCCATCATTGACATTTCTTTCTTTTATCGACTGATATTTCAACTCAATTCAATTCAAATAACTTTATTTATCACCTAGGGGCAAGATAGATAGATAGATAGATAGATAGATAGA